CAGAATTACAGGTGCATAGGCTTATATGACTTCATATTGCTTGCCCCCAAAATGCATCTGTCTTACCACTTCTGTTTGCTCTGATGATTTTCAGTGACAATCAAGTACATAAATTCCATTCTYGATATTTTCTCATAAATAAAACTYGCCACATATTGAAATTTYCACCATTCCTTGTTCARTTGCTTTTKCTTTGTTGATACYTTSATATYACAATGTGAAAACACATCCATCTTCATACATCCTTCTTCCAGAGACAGCAGAACCACCCCTGCACCRCAGGATATGGTGGTGAAGCCATAAGGCATGTTTTTGCACTGATTGATTTTCAGATTGATTTCTCAGATTGATTTTTTAGAGAGTTTTAGAGAATATTAGAATAATTTAATTTTAAGATGGAGATTTCCTTCATGTGCAAATCCTTTTTGTATTAAACATAGAGGGTGGCAAGGAATCTTTTGGATATCAGGTCTAATGCCCTGCTGCCAGGTATTTAATTTGTTGTTTCCCTTATTCCTATGGAAAATCTGTCCCAGGCCATGTTGGTCCCAATAGACACAGATGTATTGTAAATATTAGTAAGGAATCATCTTTTCATTTTCCGTGTAAGCCTAATAATACTTCATATATGCATATTTATTYTGGCACTAATATTGTCTTTTATCTAAAGAAGTTTCTTTGTAACGTTTGCTCTCAGTGCATTTTTGACAATGAGCCCATGGTCTCCTGTAGATCCTTTTGCACCTTTCTCCATATTTGTCTTGAATACAAGTAACCAACACATACCTTATCTCTCATTAAAAGTCTCCCCAGGATTTTGTACAGTGTAATACACCTCTCTGTGTCTTGATTCCAGCTGATGCATTCTGTGATTCTATTTGCCCTTCGTGCAGCTGTTAGGCCTTTCCAGCTCATGGCCATCCCAGGAGCAGCTAGTATTTCTTTGCCTTAGTTCCTAATCATTTTCAAATAATGAGCTACAAATCTTTGTTACTAGTTTCCCAATAAATGACATTGTGTTCTGTAGTGATAAATTTAATGTCTGTCCCAAGGCTGCACAGTTCTTCCAAAKAGTGTTCAGACATTTTTTAACCAACTTCTAATTAGGAAAAATAAGAAAATAATGAGACAGCAGAGAAAAATGACCTTGCATCTTGTTTTATTGTTCCAGTTTGTTTATCCTAATTTCACTCATTAGTTTGAAATTTATTTCCTTCCTTTATATTTCTAAAAGAAAAATTACTATGTTGAAGAGGTGGTTTAAGACAATGAGAAATTGGAAATGTAAAAACATGCAGTTTTTTAATTTTAAAAAATAGTATTTATTATTTCATAATTAAACAAGAGCTTTTACTAAAGAAATGCTATCTGAAAAATTCTTGCATTGATATCTCCCCAGAAAAGGCTTCATCAAGGAAAAGCCACTCTATTATTATAAGAATGCAATACATTAAACAAAATAAATTTCTTTAAAAATGATAATTCTCATATATAGCATGGATAAAAAAATAGAAAAAACTGTCCCAAAACACCGTGGAAGAAAACATAATCTGACCATGAAGGACCTCTAGTGGCACTTATAATTCCAGATAAAAAAAACTTCTGACATTATGCTTGCTCAGCATTTTAGAAGGAATCACTTTTGCAATTTCAGATTTTGACTTCATGTAATATTTTTTGTCTTTCCTTTGGTTGATAATGCAGATGCAAAAAATATAATTTTATTATAGTAATAATATAATGAAGTGTCTAGTTGTACAATGACTTTGCCCTTTATTTGTTATCATTGTTATTTASTTTTATCCCCTACTCAAACTTACGATTTTCTCTGCAGGAGGAACAGACTGATCAGACACACTGAAATGAAACTGATTAGCAAAAAGGATTTGAAAGCAGATGAGGATACCAGAGGTATGTCTCTGTCTCATTTGGTATGGCTGTGCTAATTCTTTTATGTGTTCTAAGATCAACAGTATTTTTTATTTATGAAAAGCAGCAGAAAAAGATATGCTGGTACTTTTGAGTTATCCTTCATCCATTCTAGAAGATATTCCAAGTATAAGAAATATTTAGATTCTTATTTTCTTTGAGTGACACTTCAACATAGTTTGATACTTTAGACATAACTTTTGAATAAAATAATTAATTTAAAAAGAATTCTACAAATGAATGTATTGCTGAAAATTCTTTGTCAAAAAGGAGTTACATACCTACTAGTTAGTCTAAAGGCCCATTAAGCTTCCAAATACACATTGCCTGTAGATAAACTAAAGCCATTCCCAGGGATTTCACTCATCATGGAAAAGACACAGTAAAGTATATTACAGTGAAATCATTTACTTTTGTAGAGCACCAAGAACAGAGTTTCTGAAAGAGCATACCCAGKCTTAAATGCACACACTCCCATGTTTCACTGGTGAGACAGCACAGGRGGGTGGTAATACCAGTTCTGAGTGGAATGAAAGGTGTCTGCAGGGCCCATCAGCCCCAGGGAAGTTGGATCTCTTTACAGGCATGAGGCAAACTCAGGGGCTGACTGAYATCCAGAAGCAATCACATGAGATGGACCCTGAATGGCAATAGAGCAGGCACCTGATGCAGCTGTAGCTGAACACAAAGTCATATTTAGACACCTCACATATCTCTGCATTCATGGCCGTGTTGTTCACAAGCCATAAAAATTTTCTGAGATAGCAAAGTTTATTGTACTTTGCAATGAACTTAGTCCCCAAAGTCTAACAAAGGACACTTTTATCAATTGTTGTTGCTGGTTTTTTTCCCCCTATTAAAAAAAAAAAAAAAAGAAGTTTAAATTAAAAGAGATCCCTGCCTGGTTAAATGCTTTTTTTTTTGTTTCATGTTTTCAGTTCATAGATACCTCTCTGGCATTGCAATCTGTCCGCAGCTAAGCAGCTCTGGTGCAAAGCTCTGGCCTGCAGTGCCTTTCTGGTGTGAGGCTGCTGCAGCCTACCTGTAGCAAGGAATTCCAGTAGCTGAGCTTAAATGAAAACAAAGAGCACCAAAAACATGATTCCTGATCTTTGGAAAACTGGCAGCAGATTGCAGGCATAGGATAAATAAAATTAAATGCGAAGATAATGGTACCAGAGTTGTGGAACTCAGATATTACTAAATATACAGAGTCTGATAGGTTTGCTCCTTTTAAACTTGTTGTCAGTTTAGGTTGTGAAGAACCGTGAGCAGCGTGACTTGATTCATAGCTATCATAACACTGAGACTAATCTGGACAGACTAATTTCTTGCAGGCGTTACAGCAGGATTTTTATTGGATTAAGAATTCAAAATTAAAATATCAGTAAATTATTCTGTTATACAAGTGAAGGAAAAATACATAAAATCTTGATGTAATAAAGAAATCGGTATGTATATTGTAAGTATAGAACTATATATATTAATGCTTTTAAAACATTTAATTATGCAGCTTTTCTTTCAAAATGACCTTTAACATTACACCATCACACAGTCAAAGAGGCTGTTTGGGGTCCAGTCCTCACCCACATAGCCAATACCTTGGTGGTTACTTGGGCCTGAGGCCTTGGGGAAGAAGACTAAAATTTGTTTTCATTCATAGCAGGCACATGAATTCGTAAAGATAACCTGAGAATGGCAGAGTAATGCCTGTTTGACACTCCTAAATCTAATATTGGGAGGATGAATTTGAGTAATAGGAAAGGGAGATAAACACAGTTTGAATGGGGGAACTGTGATAGAGAAAAAAAGTTATGGTGTTGGGAGCAGGAAGACTAAATAGTGGTGCTCTGTGGGKAACGGGGGAGGGTAGAGACCAATCCTCAAGGGATTTTCTTGTGGCAGAAAATCCTTTCTGCAGCAYAGCCAGAATAGTGACAAATATTTGCCCCAATGAGGGCAGAGGATTGCTCTTCSTGGAGACACCTCTGGGTTTCTATTCCGTCACCTGTGCCACATACAGAGCATCATTAGAAGTGGTGTTGAAATACCCACCAAGGTATGCAAAATGTCACCAGGTTCTCCAGGTAAGTTGCATGTGAAGTAGGATGTGAAAAATCCACAGGCATGGGAAAGAAGCAGCAAAGAAGTGGRAGTGGAAACGTTAGAAGAGCTCGAGGCTCCGCAGAAAGCTGCGCGAGAAGTTAAACTTTGAGGGTTTACAGTAACGTTTGCTCCTGTAACCGGCAGATGCGCCTGAACAGCCGCGGCCCGGCCAGCTGCAGCCCGGCCTTGCCATGTCCTASGGCTCCATGCCTGCGGACGGGCTGGGGGCAAAGTAGCCTGCAGGGACCCGCACCGGGGCACCAGGCTGGGCTGCTGCCGGGGAGCCGCGCGGGACAGCAGGAACACGAACTTAGCGCCGGCCCGGCTGGAGTCACCCTTGGCTGTTCGAACGCACCTCCGCCCAGCAGTTGAGCGAAACCACGGGGCCGTAGCGCGCCGAGGGGAATCAACACCGACCCCCCGCCCCAGGACGAGCCATGCCCCTCCCGGGGGCGGCCCCTCGGCGGGCACAAAGCCGGGTTCGGCCGCTGCCCAGGCAGTAGTGTGCCGTTGTCCCGGTGCGGTGGCTCATCCCTTCCGTCYGCCGGGCGCCGCCCGCCACCTCCGCAGCGCCCGCCCTCCATCCCTGCCTGCCYGCTCTCGGCGGGCGTGGGGCCGCGCAGCGCCGCGCCATGGAGGAGGCGGCCGCTGCTGCCGGCGGACCGCCGGCCGGGGCTGCTGTTGCCGGGGCTGCTGCTGCCGGGGCTGCGCCATCGCCCGCGGCTGARCCATCGCCCGCGGCTGCTGCTGCCGGGGCATCTCCGCCCAGGGTTGCTACTGCCGGGGCTGAGCCATCGCCCGGGGCTGCTGCTGAGGCTGAGGCTGAGCCATCGCCCGGAGCCGCTCCGCTCCGGCTGCTGTCGCTGCTTGGGGCCAAGCTCTGCACCTGGTGAGTCCTCGGCCTCCACGTGGAGCCGCGCGGCGTCGGCCTCCCGCCCGCTTCCGGAGCGGGGGAAGAAGGGAGGAAGGGGGAAGCGTCCGGGCTGCTCTGGGCGYCGTGGGGACAGCGCGGTCGGGATGCGGAGGCCGCTCTGCGCCGCCGGGAGCAGCCGCGGGGTTCCCGGGCCGAAGCGGCCGCCGCGGTGCGGGCCCGGGGGGACGGCCGGGGGGGCGCGGGGCTGAGCAGAGCCCGAAACCTTTGGCCGGCCTGGCACAGGGGAGCCCCGGGAGCTTCGGCCGCTGCCCCGGGAGCGGGGCGCTCTGATTGCGGGGCTGCTTCGGGAGCGCCGCCGAGCTGCAGCGTGCGGGTGCTGGTGAGCGAGAGCCCGAAGAGTCGCCTCGGCTGAGTGTGGAATTAGCCTRTGACGTGTTTGATTCTATTAAAATAGGGCTGTGCTTTCGCACATTAACATATGCATTTGACTTTTTTTTTAAAAAAAAAGAATTCCCGCTTTTCCCTCGCACTTTATCAGTTTYGTAGTCTTCGATTAGCATCATTGTGAAGGACAGGTCATGGGGGATAGCGAAGGTAATCGAACAAAATAGCAAAAATAAGGTGTGGAGTCGAGAAGGACCAATATCCATATTTTCTCTTTCCATGAATCAGGTTAGGATAAAGATTTGTTCAGGTATATCTCTTGAAATATGACCACGAGTTATGCATGGAAAACTTGTGGAAAAAACATCCGCTGAGCTGTGCAGACATAGCATGTGTTCCAGAGCTGGTACTTTCGAAGCACTGCCTTCCAGGAGAACAAGACTACATCCTCAGACTTCTATGCCATCCACTTACAGTTTCACTTTCTATCTAGAGAGGTAAATAGTCCCTGTTTAAAAGGCTTTTTTTGAGCTGTAGGTTTGGTCAATAATAATAGTTGCATCAGATTTGGCAACCAAAGATGTGCTGGCTCTCCTGCCAGCTACGTGTTCCTCAGCTGGAGCTATGTGTTCTGGCAGCTGGACTATGTGATGGTGTGTGCTGGCCAAGCAGAGCCTTATTCCAGTGGGCAAAACCTGCTTTTCTCTTTTGGTTATACGTTTTTATGTTTTCACTCCTCTCTGTCAAGAAAGGTTAAAAAGGCAAAATAGAAACATGTTGAGCTGTTCAGTAACCTCACCTTTGCCAGTAGTTTTGTCAGAGGGCTACAYTAAGTGAATCTATGAGAAGTGCTTGAAGGAAAACCAAGAGCTTTCACTGAATTTTGCAAAGTGATAATATCAAAGAGATACTGAATTGATAAGTCTTCTATTTTTCCCCCAGGTGACAGAACACTCAGCCACTTCAGTTTTGTTAGAGGCTTTTCTGAGTTGTAGGAAGGTTTAATGCTTGTATGTAATAAACTAGTCTGGGTGTGGGTTTTGTTGTGGTGGTTTTCCTGCTGGTGTTTTTTTGGTGTTTAGGTTTTTTTTTAGTAAAACCATTAGARAATATATTTCTGGTGCATTTCTGTTTCTTAGCTTTTACAAATTAAATTGACCTCAGTGTCAAAGCAGAACATGGAAAAACTGACTTTTGATGATGTTAGTTGTTAAAAATATATTCTGTTGTTCTTGGCTAATTACTAATTATGCTGCAATATGGGTTCAGTCTGAACCTGCATCTTCTTTTAACTACTAACATGAAAAAGTGAGGTTATTGAAATGAAAAGGTTACTTCCCCCCACRATTTAGGAAGGGTTCAGTAGTTAAAGCTGACTGCAAGTAAACTCTGTATGTGGAGAGGGTTGCCAGGCTTTGCATGGTAGTATTAGATTGGTGGCATAAATCAAATTAATATTTGAAAAGCTGCATTTCTTTTAATTAAAAAAACCACATTAAAATTACAGGATTTAGTAAACTAACTGCCAATAAAATTGTTAACTGTGGGCTTATTAAATTTTCTTTTAACTTCCTCAGGTATAGACTTGGATTCTATTTTAGTGTCTTGGTGTATTTTTTATTCTGCAAATCACATGAAGCCAAGGAAAGCCAGCTTGAGTTTCTCATGATTCTGAGAATAGCACATTGTTCAGTGTTCACTTTAGACCAATTTGTGGCAAATTTTCATGCTCTAAAATGTCCCAAAATGACTCCTAGTTTTGCGCATAGCCATAGACACAGCTGTCTAAGATATGGTGACTGAAGGAAGGGGAGGAGTAATTTCTTTGTAGCTTGCTGCCAAGCATTAAAAGCCTACAATAAATCCCCCTCCTCAACTGTAAAACTAAAAGGTCTCTTCAGACCACTTACCTAGCATCATCTGACAGTCCAAAGTGAATTAGTCCTTACCAGTGCATTAAAAAAAAAACAAAAAAATCCAGAGAGGATCAAGCTCTGGCTTGGAAGAGTTAATAATTAATATACTTTTAAAAATGATCAATTATTAATAAGCAAGTCACTGTCATTGGTACTTGTATCAATACCTAAATGAATGGACACTTGTGTCTTTAAAGCATTTTCTCAGAARAACTTGCCTTGCAAAATGCAAACAGTAGGTTTTAAAGTTTGCTCCCAAGTTCTACGGAGGATCAAACACAYTTTTTTAAGATCGACTGTGAGCCCAGTGCATCATACCTGGTGCTGCCTTCTCAATGTGAAGAAATTAGTTTTGACACTTGGGCAAATGGTGTGAGGGGAAGCCATTGCTGCTTCCKGCAGAGGCTTTCACCTGGTATTTGGGGGAGTCTGGGCAAGAGGCAGATACCTTGCAGATGAGAAAGCTGCCAGGTGTGGAACACTTTGGGATTCACAGAAGACGGTTTTTGAGAGCAGCCTTCCCATGTTGGTGGACAGTGTCTTTTTGTGTGTTTTTTTGATGTGAACGTTTTGACTCTATTCAGGGAAGAAAAAAAATCTCTGAATTAAAATAGAGAAAAATAGAGAAGGGCATGAGATACGATGGAGCCTGTTTGCTTTGTCAGATGCCTTTGTTACARTAGAAGTAAAAGCTGTAGGACTGCCAAGACATTTGTTAACTAAGTAGCAATGATTGCTAGGGCAGTAACCACAAAGCAGACAGTTTTGGAGATTCTGCACCTGCTTCTCCTCCCCAATGTAAAAATGCAAGGAGGTAATTCCTTAGGTATTTTAAATGGGGGAAACTTGGTTATTGGAAAAGCTGAGGATCAACTTAGTGGAGTTACTCCATTGCAAGAGAGCAGATGGGTCTGTCTTGTTTTCAGTAAATGGTGGTTGAAGCAGGTTTTTCCTATTTTACCCTCTCCTTGGAACATGGTCACTATCCAGTTTGCCAGAATGCTGCCTGTAGAGTCCAGGCCTTTGCTGCAGAGAAGGTGTTGTAGCTCAGGAGGATTGCCCCTTGCAACTCATGTTCTAGACAAAAATGTTGAAGTCCACACAGAAGTCCATGTCAAACAAAGCCTCCTTAACCAAGCTTGTGGGATGGTATTGCCTGTGCTTCTGACCATCTCTGTTGCAACACCCTGGAGATGGGTGAGGGGGAGTTTGTGTCCCGGAGATCAGGGCTTCTGCCAGCCACGTCAGCTTTAACCTCTCCTGGCAGTGTACTGATGAGTGCAGTTCATTTTGTGCCCCACACAGGCTTCATAGGCTTTGCTCCAGTAAAATTGCTGCAGTTTTGCTCAGTCTTGCCTCTATTTGTGCCTGATCCCTATCTCCACACTCTCCCCCCAGCTAGTCCAAGCACAGGGTTAGTTTAGTCCAATAAACTGCTAAAGGCTTCCTGTGTTCTTTGTGTGCTGATGGTGAAGAATAAACATTTTTCTGATRGTTTCAGGCAAGAAGCTTTATTTGAACAACAGAAAGTATAGCTGTGTTTTTTTAAATGCCTGAAACCACATTTTTGTATGTTGTTCACCACAGTATATGTTCCTTTGAATTTCAGTGGGTCTTCTGTCATTTTACCTGCTGCAAAGGAGCCAGAGTTCACAGGGCTGGCAAAGGGCGAGCTGGAATCATCATCCATGCCTACTTGGAATTTTAGCTAACCTGCATTACGTTTGTTCTAATGACAGCTGATCAGATTGTTTACATGAAAATAAAAAGATATTTCTGCAGCCAGAATAATTAACTAGAATGTGTCTTACTTTTTTACTAAAAAGCACAAACCATTGACCAGAATATAAAGAAATAAAAAAAAAAAATTAGTTAAAATGTAACAGAAGTGAAGTCGCTTCTAATTTTTTTTGTGCTATTTTTAATGAAACACCCCCAATAGATATTTTAGAAATCTATTTAGAAATGAGATGTTTTTCTTTCATGCACAAGTAATTACTCAGATGAGACTGGCTAGTCCCTTACAAGATTGATGTGATATAGAGTGCTTAGAGTGTGAGTGTGCACCATTGCTGGGATTGGCAAGGCAAGCTGTAATAAAGCATTGGGTTCAAATCTCTTGGAAGTCCAGCATGGCTAGAGTTTGTAGAGATTTGCTGTTGCATCAGAATGCACTTGAGGAGAAAAATGTGCCCAGCAGCATGTTTAAAGTCAGAAGACTTGGTGTCAGGCTGAATTGAAAATAGATTCATGCAGGTGCATTAGAGTATGTACAAGGAAGATGCCTCCCTTTCAAAAGGAGGGATTTGATTGTGTGACTGTAGTTGGCTCTAGCCCTGTTGAATACACCCTTGTCATTGCCTGGCAGCTGGATTGCACAGCACAGCAGTCTGACCTGCTATTTATTGTGTTGAAGTCACCCAGCTTGGGAAAACAGCCAGTGTTGCTCTCAGGTGGTGTACCTGACACATTGGTGTCCTGCCAGAAGTCAGCATGGAGAGACGGGGGCACAGGGTAGATGCAGAATCCTAATGGGGTCCCTTCTTCCTGTGCTCAATTACTTTGAGTGGGAACAAATGAATTGGTGGTGCAGAAGTTAAATTCACATCAGTGGTCTTCAGAGCAAACGGACGAAATGTGAACTACACAGACCTATATGGACAGCTCGGGGCTGAGCTCCTGTCACTGGCACGTATTGTGCATGTGCAGAGACTGGGGTGATGTAAATCTGAATACCCCCACTGGCAGAAGAAAGAGCAAGCCAAAAGAGACATAGAGTTACATGCTTCTGTTTGTCTGGGACCATCTGGAATAGTTTATCTTATATTAGGTAAAAAGCTGCTACTATAAGAGAATGAGCTTCCCCCCCACCCCAGCTGTGAGTGGGACTTAAGAGGAACTGTAAATGCAAAAAAGATCTTGCCCAAAATGCTTTTTTAACTCCATGCTCAGCTATAGCAGAACATGATGTAATAGAACTGAAAAAATCCATAATAAATATTAATTATAATAATTCTGATTATAAGAAATATTTATTTTAAGGTGAGAACAATCAATCACTGGAACAACCTCCTCACTGAAACAACCTCCTAAGGGATGTTGTGGAGTCCCCATCACTGGAGATTTGCAAGATGCAACTGGACAGAGTGCGAAATAGTCTCATCAAGGCTCTGTTTCCCTTGAAAGGTCAGACTAGATGATCTTTCAAGATCCTTCCAAACTGCTCTGTTCTATGGTTTTATCATTCATGCATTTATATTTCCTTAGCACCGCTCAGCTTAAGGTCTCAGATGAGCTTGCAGGTAGTTGTGCTTTATCTCCGTCTTGCCAATCCTTGTTCACTGAGGTCAGCATGGGATTCAGTGGAGAACAAAGGATTTAGCTCAAAACCTGCTTAATAAGAATAGGACCTGCTATTGGGTAGAGCCTGCCCTGGTCACCTGTTTGAAGATCCTTGCAAGTAATTGCAGTCTCCCTTGTGGTGGTTTTGAGCTGGCTTCACTTCCCTGGGGCTGTCCTGAGGTCAGACTTGTCCTTCTGTATACACAAACCTCTGCTTACCTGTAGGTGACTGCACCATTGGTAGGGAGTAGGAAGAGAACAAACAATCAGTCTGAAAAAAAAAAAGGCATTTTTTCCTGTACAATTAGCAAATACATTTTTAGAAACTTCAATGTTTAATTCTAAGCTTTCTGTTTCATCTTTTATGTTCACAGGTATGTTTGGAAAACTGTAATTCTGGGCCAGGTGCTCTCCTTGTTTATCTGTGGGACTGCTGTTACAAGCCAGTACTTGGCAGAAACATTTCAAGTGAACACTCCAATGCTGCAAAGTTTCATCAACTATTGTTTGCTGCTTCTAATTTATACAACACTGCTGGCATTTAGGACTGGTATGTGAAATATGGAATGGGAGATTCTGGTTCATTTTTTTTTTCCTTTCTGCATTTTCTTTTCAGAATTTGAAACTAAGGAACTCTACTCATCCTAGTTTTTAAAGTTTGTGCTTTATAATAACACATGGAAATTAATTTCACAGGTTAAATGTACATTTAATTTGATATAACTTCATGTCTGTTAGAGTTTTGTGCTCTTTGGTTTGGAGTCCTATGTTATATTAGGAAAAATAGGCTTTGTTGTAACAAACTTTATTACCAGAGGCTATTTATTCCTCCTATTCTTATTAATTTACTCTTTAAACAGCTCTAGTCTTGTGTTTTTCTTCACGTGCTAGAATTTCTGTGCTTTTCACCATTTGCATTGTCTCCTCCCAGGCTGCGTTTTCCTGTTACTGTATCTTAGGCAGGGACAGGCAAAGTCCAACATCTTGGTATTATTTATGCTTCTAAAAAGCAAAATTCCTGTGCAACCTTTGGTTGTAAAGAAACACATAACGATTGTTGCTTTCTTCTAAACAGGCTGTGCTGGTATGTGGCAGATTTTGAAACAGAGGTGGTGGAAGTATATTATTGTGGGACTGGCTGATGTTGAAGCCAATTACTCAATGGTAAAAGCCTACCAGTATACAAACCTCACGAGTGTGCAGGTAAGGACTGATCTCTCTTCTTGAACTGTGCTTTTATTACAGTCTTGGATTGGTTTCTAAAATGAGATTCATAGGACAGACATGGAAGCTATTTAAGCCTGAAAAGAACTTTCCAGTATCTATTTTCTCTCTGCAGCGTAAGGAAGAGCATCCTGTATCATGAACAGCTTTTCCAGGAAGCAGAGAAAATTGGCTGGTACTACCCTGTGCCAGCTCTTGAGTTGAACTCTAATTATTTTGATAAAAGCACTTCTAAGAGTTTGCTGACAGTCACTCAGTTTTTTCTCCTGACACAAAATAAAGATTTATGACCAGATAACAGTCACTCAATGCAGGTTCTTGCTGATGAGAGTGAGGTGGATCTCTTGCCTAGTCTTGAAGCTGCAGGAGGTGTTGTGAGATGTTACCCTGCCTGTGAGGACACACTGAATGTGTGTACGCACTTTTCAACACCAGTGTTTGCACTGCTGCACTAGTATGAATCTTGTGTTCTGAAAAAGCTCTATAAGCAGAAGGGCTAAACCTTGGGTTTCTTTGTCACCCTACACAGACAAAAGCTGTTGCAGGAGTCAGTGCTTTCCTCTTGCCTCCAGCTGCATTCTCCTGAGCTTGCAGGGCCAGTTTCCTTGAACAAGCTGGCCCAGAACACTGATCAAAGTGGGAGTAAACCCTGCCCTTGGCTGCGCTGTTGGCGAGCTGTGTTGGGCTCAAGTTAGCTCGTTGTGTGACTTCACAGATACTGTGGGAACAAGGGAGAGGATGGTGCGTGAGCAAGGAGAGAGGGAGTGTGTTCAGGTGTGACAGCTCATGTGCACTGTTACCCGTGGTAGGGATCTGTGGCTGGGGTTGTGGCCCCACTTACCTCAATAAAAAAATCCAGTGTAATATGCTGACTTGGCCCTCAGTTGGAAAGGAGTGTTTAGGTGTCAGTGTTTTACCGAGGCAAAGTAACAGGGGTTAATATTTAAGGGAATTACCTATAAAACAGTAAACTCCTGTAGTCTAGGCTCCCTTTAGAGAATTGCAGGAACTTTGCTTTGYACTGCTAAAGACCAGTTATGCCTCTTGGGTTGTTATTGTAATATTTCCACTTCATACTAACGTTTTATGACTCATTAGGCCTTTAATCTCCTTACAAATAATGCCCAATAAACCAAAGCTTTAAGAGTGACATATTTCAGTCTCAAGATCGAGTTAAGCTGATAAGTRAGAAACTGTTTGACCTTATACTTTACAGCTGAACAAGCTAGGACTTTGATCCAAGTTCTCAGAAGTAGTAAACCTATTCCCATGATTTCTTTCATAGAAATTAAGAAAGAATAGATAAAATAGATTGTCCTGCCCGGTTGCCAAAAACTCAAGCATTTTCTGAGCCTTTTCCCTTGTGGTAACCTTGTGATTGATGCTGCTTTGTATCAGTTTAGTAGTTGTGCTTTTGTTGCAATGGCCTGTTGCCCTAAGGTTTCTTGGTGTTCTCAGAAGTTGCCAGTTTCTCATCATTGTCAGAAATAAGATACAGGCGGAAAAAGCCCACAACACAAAAGCCTGTGATTTGCTCTAGCGCAAGGCATTTGCTTTCTGGTTTTGGGCAAGCAATTTTGCAGCKACGTCAGTGCCTGTGGCTCAGAGCACACTGCCTGATGGCCTGTCTGCAGTACTGGCTGTGAGTGGATGCCCAGGGAGCATAAAAGCAGCACAGGGGTATATGGCACCTTACCAAATGCGGTGTAATCACTGTTAAAATGCTGGCTGGCTGCAGGTTCAGCTCAGCACTACGAAACGTAGCTTCAAAGGTAAGTTTTTTTCAGCTCAGCAAGGAACTTCCATCTATTTTCTCACATGTACACAAAAGCAGAACTGGTTTCCCTTTAGCATTTTACAGACAGGCTTTGGAGTTTTTTAAGGTGATAACAGTGGGATGGCAACTCTCGTCTTAATACAGAAAAAGACTTTGCTTCACAACTGAACTGTTTGGCTATGGCTGAGGCAGTGCCAGGATACTCCTTGCTGCCAGTGTCCTTCTGTCCTGTGGCAGGACTTGACTGTGTTGCAGTTTGACCACCTATTACGGCATGAACCTGAGTCAAGGAGGTTTAGATTGGATACCAGGAAAAGGTTCTTYACCCAGAGGCTGGTTGGGCACTGGAACAGGCTYCCCAGGGAAGTGATCACAGCACCAAGCCTGACAGAGTTCAMGAGCATTTGAAAAATRCTCTCAGGCACATGGTGTGAAGCTTGGGGTGTCCTRTGCATGGCCAGGARTTGGACTTGATGGTCCTGATGGATCTSTTCCAACTCAGGATAYTTTAYAATTCTGTGATTTGTAGCAAAAAACAAAGCAGTATAGCTGCAGTTTCATGTTTTAGCATGTTATTTGGCACATTTAGCATTTGCTCTGTAGGTAATTCAGATGGAAATGTTTTTCAGGCAACTATTGACAGAATGTCGGCTGCTGGAACACTGCTAGCCTCAACAGGAGAAAATGCCGGATGAGCTCCTGGGGCTCAGCTGGAGGCTGCCCTGAGGGAGCCTTGTGGGGAATGAGCAGGATGAGTTGAGCTTTCTTGCTTACAAAGCTATCTGAAGCTGGTAATTATAAGCAAACCAATGACCTCTAGCTATCTATGATAATTTATTAACCATGTATTAAAATATCTTCTGATAATTTACCCTACTTTTAAAACAGTGTGGCCAAAGCCTGGCTTGAATCAAAACATGGGTAAATCAAATCACCAGGTTATTTTTTTCTCCCCCCTTGTAAAAATACAGGCTAGCACTGAATAAGGTGAGAGTTTGAAGAGGTTCTACTGGAGATAGTAATCAGTACCGCAGTACTGCTGTAAATGTCATAATACCTCAATAAATAAACTTCATTCTTTTAATTGGTTCCATAGACACAATTCATTGTGATAGAACATCTGCTTTGCACCTCTTTGATCTTGATCCTGTACAGAAGAGCTCTGTAATGTACTAGATGAAGGAAAGGCAAGATCCAGTAGTTGGAAATCTGATTTCATCTGTCTGTAATTGAGGGTAATTGTCTCCTGGAACAGATTACCAGGGTATGTTGTTCATCATTGGGTGCCTGTGAGTCCTCCAACCACGATGCTGTAGTTCTACAGCATGTTCTTGGTGTGGATACAGCAGTTCCCTATCTGGCRTTACTGAAAGAGCTTCTGGCTCATGCACTACTCCCTTGCATCCTARTTAAGATGTTTTTAAAGAGTTTTCTTACACACTTTCTGTTTGGGTTGCAAAACTGCTTGGAGGTTGGAAGGCTATATGCTAACATTATTAATGGGAAGTGAAAGCTTATTTTTTATTAGAAGAGGTGTCTTCTACAAAAGAAAAAAGAAAGGTAAAAATTTTTGCTCTCTGATGTTTGTAGTATTTCTTGTTGTTTGATAATAATCAGAGCAGTGAAATTTGAAGGAAATGTTAGAAGTTTTTCTTGAGTCTAGATTAAAGGTAAGGTAGAGAATGAAACCTGTGACARGATAAAAAGTCACAGTGTGATATTTTCCATAGTTAAAGTTGTATTGAAATACTTGGTATGACATTCTGGCACTTGGGTAGTTGTAAAATCTCATAATACAGCCTAAAGGAGTACTTTTTGCACTTCACAGACTTTACAAACTGGACAAGCTGGAGGCAATCCAAGGAGCAAAGACAAATAGATAGAAGGATTATAGGCACTGCTAGGATTTAATCTTTAATAACTTCCCTTAGCACTGTGCTTGTAAGACTTTTCTATGTGTAGTTATGAACAAGTGAAACCAGACATATCAAAATGTTAATGAGTTTGGTTAAAGCTCTTGGGGACAATGGTACAACACAGAAGTCAACTGCAGTGGTGCACTTAGGCAGGCAGAGTCTGGAAATGAACATTAAGAACAAAGGGCTCTTGCCTTGATTGCAGGCATTATGGCCCAGTCCTACTGATCTGGACCTAATACTTTGTTGGGGCTTCAGGAGGCCAATTTTAAGGGCTGACATTTGAGACTAATTTATGAGGAATATCTGGTAAGTTGACTGTATGTTCTGTTGTAGGCTGTTGCGTTATTTAGTTCCRTGGCACTCTGCAGAGACAGGTCAGAAAGCACAGCTTTGCTTTCCTTTGACAAATTCAGAAACAAAATCTATTTCGTTGAATTAAATATTAAACCTATTATGATTGGCTCAGTTGTCTTGGTGGTATTTGGCTGTTCTAGAACAATATGCCTGTCTTATGCTGCAGTGTATTTTTCTGTATGAAGTATACAGCTAGCTCTTGATACTTTCTGTACTAAAAGAGAATAGGTAGAAGATCCTTGGAAGTTTCCAAGGCCAGGTTGGAGTGGTTGAGTGGAAGGTGTCCTTGCCCATGGCTGGAGGGTTGAAACTAAAGATGAACTTRAAGGTCCCTTCCAGTCCAAGCAGTTCTGTAATTCTGTGGGTGGGTCTAACAGCAAAGCAAAGATACATAGGTACATGGAGAGAAAAAATGAAGAGAAGTCAGTATCAGTGCTTTTCATGGAGCGCAGACATCCCCGAACCACAGCTGTTCAGTCTGCTTGGGGCAATGTCTGCAAACATGGCTGAAGTGCTCCAAAACTCAGCTGCCTTGTGTGTCTGCGGCTGGGCATGGGTGAATTACAGTGGGTTACCTGCTTCTGACTAATTGAGAGTTAGCTGACAGAAAATGCATTGGTGGCTTTTATGTGTTTTTGTGGGAAGCTGAGAGATTAGGAAGATGACAAGAAAAGCTGTTCTTCCCTTCGTGACTTACTTCTACCAGTTTTGCACATGGCTTCCAACACACATACCAATTTTTGTTTTTAGTATGATCCAGTTGAGGGGGGGSAGGGCAGGTGGGAATCAAACCCAAAGCTGCAGGGTCAAGTCCTTGTCATAGTCACATAAATGTAAAATCAGTTTACGTGTACCCATCAATAGTTGCAGATTTTTGCTTTGTGTACGTGGAGCCCGGGGGAGTAATGATGTTTCAGAACAACATCCTGACATTTATGAAGCTGCAAAGATTGATTAGATCCATCATTAGAAGAGTTTCTAAATCAGTCCTTTCCTACCAGGAGCACGTGGACCCCTGCTTTCACTTGCAAAATACTTTTGATGGTGAAATGTGGGTCTCACCCCCTCTTAAACAAATCTACTGGGGCTGCTTTGCCAGTTTCCTTAAAATCTGATGATTGGAGGTAAGATCTGTGCATTTGCTTTCAGGATGTTGCAGTCCWGATTTGGGRWGGGTTTCTAACTCAGACCATTTTTCTGTACACACAGCTCCTGGACTGTTTTGGGATTCCTGTGCTGATGGCTTTGTCGTGGTTCCTTCTCCGAGCAAGATACAGGCTGATACATTTTTTTGCTGTGGCGATCTGTTTGCTGGGTGTAGGAACAATGGTGGGTGCAGACATTTTGGCGGGGAGGCAGGAAGGTGAAGGTAAGGAGTCCTTTATTGGGAGGTGGGGGGAAGAGCAGAGAGATGGCTCTTGCTGTGGACAGCAACTTGTWAAGAAAAAAGAGAAGCAGATACAGTTCTGTTTTAAAATAGAACATATTGCTGTTTTTATTTCTTGTCCAAGAAGAGATGTTGATTTTATGGGGAGCTGTGGAATTTCTTTGCTTTTGTGTTTGGATTATTTCTTCCACCTTAAAAAGAGAAACATTTGTGTTAAATTTAAATTTTGCTGCTGTTCATTAGAGSTGATGGAAAGTGTCATTCCTGAAAGCTTGTTCACTTTAACTATCATGTGAGATGGTTTAATAGAAGAAGATGCCTCTTCCTGCAAATCTTGTCTTGTTTGTATAGTATCAACCTGCTGGCAGCCAGACTTCTGTGATTTGCAGTTTTCTCAGTACAAGTACCACATAAAAAGCTGCTCACAGCAGCTGCCTTCTCAGAGTTACCTTTGGCAGACTCAGCAGAAATGGTCCATATATCCCYGAGGTCACAGCCTGGAAAACAGGGGCTTACTATGGGAGTGCAAGAGGAGATGGGGCAGGATGCCAGGACTCCTGGGACCTCTGTGGGGGAGGCTGGGCTCTGGGGGCCAAGAGCCAGATGGGTGCAGATAAGGGCAGGTCTCATCTTTACTATGATGGATGCCCAAATCAATCCATATCATAGCAATCTTACTTTGAATAAGGATTTTGAATTTTCAGAGCCAGAGGGTATGAGAGAAGGTAAGTTTCAGGGCATTGCCTCTGTCAGGCAGTGTGTGATAAGCCTGTGTGGTGTTATTTTGGGGCCTTACTGTAGCTAAGACATAAAACAAACTGAAGTTAAGCTTTACTGCTATGTGGTACTGATACCTTGGTCCTGTGGGAGAAGAATATTTCCCTGAGACATTAGGCAGCTGTGCTTTATTTGCTGACCTGGGGATCCTTACTGCTGCTTACCCTCATATTTTAGTCATATTTTCTTAGTGATTGCTTAGGGAAGGAAATTTTAAACCAATGGAAGGATTGAAACAGCAGTGATCCCTTTGCTGTTTAGCTGATGCAAGAGGCATTTGATGATGACTGTAGCACACRAGTCCCATTTAGGGAGTCCCATTTATAGAGTAAATACACCGCAGCAGGACACACAGTACCCACCCCTGCAGAGCCTGTCATGAACCCGAAACTGAGACCAGGTCCCACCAAATCAATAGATTAATCTTAGCAAGACTTGAATCAGGCCTTATTGCAAAAGTGGGGACAGTATTCTTGAAATGCAGAGAGCATCTCTARCTGGGAATTTGCTCAATTGCCTACAATGCCTGAGGTCAGCAGAAGTAGAAACAGACAGGATAATACAGCAGTGTTTTGGTTGGGGTGAGATATCAATGCTGGGCTTAGCTCACTCCACACTATGCAGGGTGAGGTGGGCAGGCAGCAGAGTCTGTGCTCAGACATTKCTCTGCACACACAGGTGGTGTTTCCTTCCCCCTTATCCTGGAATGCACTAGGAAGATAGAGATGTTCAAGATAAATTTGCTTGTCTTTTTTAAGGAAAGTTAAAAAGTGTTTGCGGCATTACCCTTATTGTGGATTAATATTTCTGTACAGGTAGTGACGTGGTGATTGGAGATGTCTTAGTGCTTCTTGGTGCTTCTATGTATGCCATTTCTAATGTGGGTGAGGAATACATTGTGAAAAAACTGAACAGAGTGGAGTTTCTAGGAATGGTGGGCTTGTTTGGGACTATTATCAGCGGTCTACAGCTGTAAGGATCTAATATTTATTTTAAAACTAATTAAGAATATTCTACAGATGATTGCTTGTATACCCTGAAATGATGTTATTAAATTCTTTGTTATATCTGTGTTTGGCCTATATGGGAGTCCTTCCACTTGAATTGATTTTTGTCGCTGATCAGCATCTGTTTTATGTCCTTTTTATTTGCACTACTAGAACAGCAGTTCTAAAGCTGAACTCCTGCAATTTTACACATAGGGTRCTTGGCTCTATTTTTGATTTTGTTAATGTTTGTGAGGACACTCAGTATGCTGAGGACTGTTCACAGGAATGTATTTCTTAATGGATTTTCTCTGTGAAAAGATTTAGGAGATAGTTGTKAGCAGATCTTCCATAATAAACTCAAATTTAAAATGAAGCCATGTATATACTCTTACAAATAACTACATTTGAGTAAAAGGCCAGATGCACTTAAGTCTGTCTAATGAATTTTATAGTCCTCGTTTCTCATCACTATAGTTAATAATTTCCTCAAATGGTATATCAAATAAAACTGAATCACTTAAAGATTAAAACGCCTGTGAAGAAGGCTTAGGAATTAAATAGCAGTGCTTTTGACTTTCAGGCACTTTAATTTTCATGTCTTTTTCRTGCTTGTTAGATGTTTGAGCTAGTGTCAGTAAAATTTGAAACAAAAATTGAATAGCTTATAAATCAAGATGTTTTCTTAAATATTTCGATAATTAAATTCTCTATTTGAGTATGGTTTTTTTTTTCCTTTTTTACTGTATTATATATTTTCTCTGACTCTAGAGCCATTGTGGAACATAAGGAGATAATGAGAATTCAGTGGAGCTGGAAAGTTGGTATGTGTATGAGAAAATAATATGCATGTTACAGAATACTGGAAAATTATAATAATTTAGACTTTGAATGCTGGACATTTTATTTTCTTTCTCTGAATAATAAGCAGCATTAATACTATATTTTACAAGTTTATTTTCTGCAAACTTTGCAGCTCAGCAAAGAGAGAGGGTCTGTAGGATTGCACATTAAAATAGGTTTAGCATTTTACATACAACTTGAAATAATTTTTCAAAATAAATTGAAATAAGTAAAAGTGAAACCTGTTTAATTACCAATGTGTTTGGTGTTGGAACATCATAAGAACATTTCTCTGTTGTCCCTCTTAAATGAAGCACTGGAAAAATTGACACATTTTGACCTGAACAGAAGTAAACGTTATCACTAAATGTGGCTCTGAATTTCTTCAGTCAGCTCTTAYGTTATGTAGGAATGAATGAGGACTTTCTTGTATAGATACAGTAATTCTTGCAATACAAGGTACTCTCCCATGCTTTTCTTACATATACATTCCCATATCTTTTAGGASATAAAAATGCATAGTTTTAAAACATCTGAGGAGTATCAGTGCTCTTTAAAATCATTGTTCTGTGCCTGAGGAGTAACTTGTCATCTTGTTTTGCAGCACTGCTGTTCTCAGCCTTTGCCTTGTGCATGTTTGGTCTGTACAGCTTCATGCCAGTTGTGATACAAGTCACCAGCGCAACTTCTGTCAACCTGGGGATTCTCACTTCAGATCTCTACAGTCTCTTCTTTGGCCTTTTCCTGTTTCACTACAAGGTAAGTACATTGATTCCTTTACTTTCACATTCTTTCAGATATTTTTATACTCCAAAATTACAAATAAAGCATAATGTTCTTAGAAGCCCCAAAACAGTTGTTTGCACCTGTACATTTMTGAACATTTAAAGTTCTATCATTCAGTGTTGGCAGGCGTCAGTCAGGAGGAGACCTGCTTAGTTAATGACAGAGCCTTGCACCATTAGCCAGAGAGCCATTTTCAAACCATTTCACACTTGAAGGAATAAGTTAAGTGTTAAGAGAGAGTAAGTAATTTCCTGAGGTGTTCCAGTAATAGAGTTGTCACTGAAAGTGCTTTGTGGAGCTGTATGTTAGATTTGGTTCATCACTCCARGTGTCCAAGGAGAGGGTTTGAATCTCCCTGTCCTGAAAGGCATTTGGTGTTTGAAAGAGGACCAGTTTGATTTTCAGAAAATAGTATTTTCTTTTAGGAATTCAATCTTACTATTAAATCTGACAATTTCATTACCAACATCTTGAGATGAGAATCAAGCTGCTGCTCAGTGCTGCTGCTAAGGAGAGACTAAAGGATCTGAAAAAATACAGGTTAATGTATTATTCTGTACACTCTCCAAAAAGCAGTTACTTTTATTAGTGCTCTGAAATACTTTTGGCAGTGTCTGCTCAAGCTAAATGACAGTGCTACAAGGATTTTATTCCACCCTCCACTTTTTATCCAGAATCACTTGTGAGAACCTAGCTCATTAAAGCAATTGGAGTAATTGAGTCAGTCGCTTCTKACTGGAAGGGCTTAGTTGAGAAGCTTGTGAACTTTGCTTAGGAACTTAATTTGTATTATTCCATGTGATTGCTTTCTCTTCAGCCAGAAGCTTTTAGGTCAGATTTGTTTTCTGAAAATGAAGGCAGYGCAGAGTCTGGTAATGGTAGGGTCTGACAGCAACTAGATTTTCCTTTTCAAGAGTCTCTTAGCTCAGCTTTCCTCCCTGGTTTGGGTTCCAAACTTTGCTCCAAGCTACAAAGCATCTATTAAAAAAAAAATGAATGCAAGAAGCAAACCATACTTACACTCTAACAATTAAATCYTTTCTAAGTCAATTCCAAACGTGTATTTTGGCACACACAGAGCTTAACTCAAGAAGTGATTATAAACTAATATTTATAATAGAGAAGAGGAAGAAGAGCTTTAGAAGGGATACATTAAGCTTCTATTTTCAGGATTTTTAGTTGATTYTGGGAAGAGTTTTTTCTGGGAGCAGGCAGTCTCATAATTGCTAACAGTAAGGTATTCTAGTAGCAAAAAGGAAAAGTGAATTAGAGAAGACTTTGGGATTGTGTTGAGAGGATTTCTGATATTTATTGAAATAGGAATTTGCATCTGGGGTTAGAAACAATGAAGTAGCAAAATGGGGAGCAATAATAATGCCACACCTTTAGTAATCAGAGGATCTGAGATAACTTAAGATACCATCTGATCTTTTATCTGAGATAACCRTGAACTAAGATAGCCCAATTTTGACATGGCTTTTAGCAGTAGAAAATGTTACTGCCAAGTTAACCATATAGTTTTTTTTACCTATGGGGCAAAAGAAACCAAGCAGGATGTTTACTGGAGTAAAAAGCACTCTACAAGGAATCTACAAGCAAAACTACAGGGAATTGCTCAGTATTGMCCATTATCACATGATATTTCACAGCAGGCTGCTGGAGGCTTGGCTGGTTGTAGAGTGGAGAGAGCCATAGAGAGCTCTGAATTGCTGTGGTCTGAGCCTGCTCTGAAACAAACTTAGAGAAGGACTACAAACAGTGGCTACAGCAGAGACCAGGCCCAGGTTTTCACTTGTGCACAGTGTTTTGCCAATGCGCTTAACTTTTCAGCCCCAGCCATGTTTTAAATGAAATGTGAATTTTGCATGCCTGTTTCGAAGGGTTTTTTTTTTCTTTAATTCCATAATGAATCCTTGCTGTGCCTCCTAATGATCCCATTATATAGATACTTGTAATCCCTCAAGAGACACTGAAAAAGGTTTTGAAGTGCTTTCGTTGTATAAACCCCTGTGGAAGGGTGTACACTGCACAAAMAGACACTAGATGGAGATACAGTCCTCCAGTAACATTTATAGTACTCTCTAGGCTCAGCTGTGGGAATGAGGATATCAGCTGCACAAAGTATGACTGCAATCAGTGTCTGAGGCAATGAAGTTGTTGGAATATTTGAAATCAAGGGAAAAAAAWTCCCAGGAAAAGAACASTGAGTTCTCGCCAAAAACAAAAGGGAAAAAAAAGAAAGAGTGTAGGCCTGTTGGAGCAGCATGGGTAATGTTCACCTGTGTCAATAGCTGTAAAAATGCCAGACAGGSCTTGAGTCGCAGCTACACTGCAACAGCTTTGGCAGCCTGCCTTGGTGACTGTACCCACTCCTGGAGGAATTCTCTCATTGGGATCAGAGACACCCCCAGCCTTGTGCACGCTGCACTGCGAGAGGGATCTGCAGTTCCTTGCATACAAGCACACGCTCACTCATGGCCTTAGGCTGGAGAATTTGTGCAGGTGGTTGGATACAGAGCCAGGCTCTGGCCATTTGATGRGAACAGGCCAGTCCATGGTATGACCATGGGCGATCCCGCTGCCTCCACTGGGAGATGTTCGGAGCTGGATGCTTTCTCCTGTGCGGAGTGAACGCTTAAGTCCAAGCTGCTCCAGGCAAACAGCCAAYGAGATGAGGAGACAAGGCATTAAACACAAGGCCCCTGTTTCAKTCTGCTTCTCCTTTTGTGTGTTGCCATCCAAGGGTTTCCAAACCATTTGCAGGAAAGGATTTGCAGTACCTTAGCTGTAGATGCCTCAGTCTTTTTTGGATCAAGAGTCCACTGTCTAGGTCCTACCATTAATTTAATCCTCATAAACKAGAACATATTTTTGAAGCATGTCTAAGGAAGCTAAGGAAGTTAGAGGATATTGACAGAGATATGTGGGATATACTATGTCCTTCCTAGTGTTTAATCAGTGTGGTTTGACAAAGGGAATATGGASGATTTTAATAAATCTGCTGAAAAATCTTTCTGGCTGTGGATAACTTCAGCACTGGGTATTATTGAATCTGGTGTTATGAAGTAAGCATTTATTTTTCTGTCAAGGTGGATGAATCTTAACAATTACTGGAATTTTAACAGGCAAGTGAACAGCAGAGTACCTGATGTATCTCTGCAATTCATACTCTTACCTCTCACCACTCTTCACAGAGCTCAAATGCCAGTCTTGTAAAAGGAGACCCAGCCTCCCTCCCGTCAAGGACCTGTCGGGTATAGATCCAGTAATAAATACTAACCTAGCCCTGCAGATGGTTAAGAGATATGTGCAGAGAATCAGCTGCCCTGGTGACTTGCAATAGCACAGATTCACCTCTTGCCAGAACCTGAAATATTTGGATGTGCTGGATCAAAATTCTCTTAGGCATAGAGTGTTCCAGCATTCATGTGTGTAAACAACTTTTATTCAGTATGACTGTGTTTGCAGCCATTTGTTCTCTCTGTTAAGATTCTTGTATGTAGACCTGAGGAAACTCCCTGTCCAGCAGTCTCGGGAGTGAGATGCAGAGAAAACCAGCCAGCAGCCCAAGTCTTTAAGTAAATGGAGCTGCTGAATTTTGTTTTTCAGACCTAAATCCAGCTTGTGGTGATAATCCTCATTAAAACAATTTTTACAAGAAAGGGTAGCTTTCGCATTCTTGGAACAAGACAGCATTGGCACGTTATTACACCAAGCAAGACTTAATGCATCTCTTYCTCTCCTCTGCCAGTTTTCAGGTCTTTACATCGTGGCCTTTGTTGTCATCATGGTGGGMTTCATCATGTACTGCTCCACTCCTACTCGGACGGCAGAACCCACGACCCTGCCCCATCCCGGCAGCACCGGCTTGGACAACGCTGCCCTAAAGCTCGAGGAGAGCGACAGTGAAGCTCCAGCTGTAACTGTGCAGTTCACAAGGGGAGAAAGTGTTGTGGTCAACACTGATTAAAGAAATGGCAACACTTCAAAACAGAGCTTTTTTTTTTTTTAAATTGCCAAATTCCTCCCAAATATTAATCCAGAGAATTGTCCTACTGCCAAGGCACTCGTCATACCATGCTGGGTTTAATGCACTGGATAGACTTTTAAGGCCAGATCCTCAATCAGTGAAACTGTGTTGATTTGCCCTTGCAGAAAATCTGGCCTTTAGAAGAAGACAGACTAGTATTTATGTGTAGTCTCTGGAAAGTGAGAGACTGTTATTTTTAAGTGCTTAATTAACAACAAATGTTTGGGGAAAAAACTAAGCCAAAGCAAGCTCCCAGGTCATTAAGCGGAGCAAATATGTTTTATATTGAATTAGGGACCTAAATCTGCATGAATGCTGTCTGAGGGATTGATGGTTTTCATCCCCCTGCTGYTGGGTGCCCTCAAATAGCATCTTGCAAAAGTTACTCAGCTTCTCACAGGACATGGTTCTGCAAGACATCGTGCATTCATGYACCTTCTCTTTGCTGGTGGACTTCATTCCTCTACGGAAGGATTTGCTGCCTACACTCCACCCACATGTCCATCTCTTCCCATTGCTGCACTCCCTGTCGCGGAGTGTGTTTTATTTTAAATTTTGCTAGTATGGGAAGTTTGAATATGTGTTTTTATAATCTCTTTTATTTCTGTCTGTGGCCTTTTGTTGGGTGCATTCCCATTAGCTGTGGGGGAGGCAAAGGCAGGCTTTTCCTCTCTTTGGCAGAGCTGAAAACGGGGTTTTCTTCTGGATGAGAAGGCAAAAACGTTTGAATGGAAGTTCAGTTCTCAGTGAATTTCTCCCTGAAATGGGACACAATTCTGCTGAAAGAGGTGTAATAAAATTGGCATTTCTTCAAAAAATTGAATCATCTAAGCCAAGTCTCATTGCAACAATGATGTAATATCCAAAAGGTTAAGTGCTCTCAGTAGATACACAGGCAGTTTTCCTACACTTCTTTATATTTACAATAAATGATTTAAAAATACAAGGCTGCAGTTTTAAGATCAGTAAAACCATACTGGGGTTTTATATTTTGTACAAACCTTCAGAGCTCAGGTGTGTGAAGTAAAAGTATTCAGTGTATGAATAAAGTATTCAGCAGCTGGAGACTTGGTTTGCTTATTTCCTAATCTACAGTTTATTCCTCAAAATMGTTTTGATTAATTTTGCCAACTAAATAATTCTTCTACTGGCTAAGCTTTGCTCTAGAAGGAAATATGACATTCTCTGAAGATACTGGTGATCAAATGACACAGACTGGCTTTGTGTGCTTCTGRCGTAGTTTACTCAAGCAAGATTTTTCAGGAAAAATCTTACCTGATTTTTATTTAGCAGTAGGAAAACAAAGGTTCAACAGATACTTCAGCAACAATCACTGCTTTTCCCCTGCATAGTTCATGTGCAGAAGGGTGGACAGATGCTGATGTTTTATGAAAAGCTTTGGGTCCCCTCCCATGTAGAATGCTTCTTTTGAGGGGGATGGTATTCATTTTATTCTCTACAATTGCATGATATATGATCAGTGTAACATATGTAGATTTTATCTGAAAGTCTATGGAAGCATCTATGGACTCAGACTTTACCTGGTCTTCAAAATGCAGGACCATCCTGTGGTGTGGAGTGAGTGCTCAGGCAGTAGCTCATCTTCTCAATATATAGAGCACCGAAATCAAAATTGTGTAAAACATGGGTGAGATTCTAGGCACACCCTGGATTTCTTCTTCCAAGGCTTTTAAAATCTGACTTTAACAGGAGGTTGAAATCTGATTCAAGCAGGTCGGGCCAGACAGGACTTTGGCTGAGCCAAAAGGAGAGGTGAGCAGAATGGGGCAACTCASATTCCCCAGCACAGACGGTGGGACAGCTTAGTGATTTGACACTTTGATTCTGAGTTGAAAACTTTGAAACTGTTTCACAGATGCAGGCTGTGATTTGATTTCTTATGCTGTGGTTTTACCCCATGCAAAGATTTCTTAGTGTGTTGTGGGTAGCTAAAGTTAACGTGTGCTAATACCACCAGGAAGGTSTTTCAAACTATCAGAACAAGGTTGGTGTTTTTTGTCAATCTTTCTGTCAATGACTATGCTCTTGCCATCCTCACGGTGGCTCCCATTTATCTCCTAGTATCCCTGCTGGATGCACAGGGCTCCTCCAGCAGCCTGGGACGGTTGCCAGCCATATCAGATGGTTCATGCACTTCTCGTATCCTTTGATCACCTTCGATTTCTGCTGCATCCCTATGGAATGGCGACCTGGGTGGAGAGGGGGCCAAGTTGACTTGCAGAAGAGTTCTGCATCACAAACCAGCACCATGGTGTGGTCCAGGCTCTGGGYATGTTAGGTACTTGAAGCCTGACCTCGAAGCGTCCTCGGCRTGRGGTGCTGGTCCCCTGAACCTGCTTYGTGTGGGATGAKGCCAGATACATCACTTGTCCTTGCTGTGTGCCCCGTGAATCAGAAGGAAGTGGGTGCAGACTGGAAGATGCATTGCTTCAGAGCACAAGTGACACATGTATTGCTCGTGGAGAAATAAATGTTCACTGAACAAGTCGCATATGCCAGATCCTCTGGTACCTCCGAGACAAGGTGCATGGGTGAGTCTTTAAATCTTTTTGGAATATTGGAATAAGATGGAGGAAAAAAAAAATCAATCTGTCACTTGCATTAAACACAGGAATCCAAATAAAAATGTGTGACATACAGCCTTCCTCCAAGGTTGGTTACAAAACAGCAAAAGTTATCTGGCATCAAAATGTCATGGTGTGTTGGGAAATAAGAAATTAGCRTGTCACTAATTGAGTGCTGACATCTCTAGAATTTGAGGGAGAGGATGGGCTTGTGGACATCAGCTATTTTAAGGTTTTTGACCTTTTCTAGGTTGTACATACTCAGTTCCATACAATGTGATGTCTGGAACAAGCACATCAGTTCTTGTCAGCACCATTCACTCATATATTTATTGTGGAATATTTCATTGTGTTATATATATGCTTGTGTTGAAATTAGCTATTTCAATCAATTTAGAAGGTTTGACAGAGAGAAGCTGCACGTTCTGTGATCARTCATGAACAATTTTGAGCAAGCAGACAGATTCCTAAAAATGCAAAGTGAAGGCTGCTGCTACTGGTTTGGTCTTTCACCAAAATACAGCCTCCTGGCAATTTCMGTGTTATACCATCGGATGAGAATCYGATGAACTGTGATGTTGCAGATTTAATGTTTATCTTGAGGCTACACCTAAACATAGATTCATCAGGCAGACAGCGTCCAAGGTATTGGAACCTCACCCTCTTGAGCTCTCTCTTTGCTGTCTTCAGAGGGGGCAATTCAGCTCTCCCTTGGACATGCCAATGTTTATTTGAGTTTTTTTGTTTTGGGTACCTAGTTTTAGGTGGAGCCAAGCCAAACCTAGAGACCCCAACCAAGTGCAATGTCCCATCCTTAGGGACATTGGTGTCTGTAGTGAGTGGCTATACAAACTGAAACTTTTACAATTTATGTGAGAGATGAAAGAGGCACGGAGAGATTTCCTTAGCAGCTGTGAGAAGCCTATGGCTGGTTCAATAAGATTTTTTGTGCTGTGGTATCCAAAATGTGCATCCTTCACTGCTCTCCTGATAYAATTTAATTTTTCTCTTGTATAAGAGCATTCAAGACTGAAAGTTATAGATTTTATAGAAAAGGGCCAGAAGGAAAAATCTGATTTCTTGTATTACACAGGTCAACATACTCCATCTGGTTGCTCTCAAGTAAAAAAGCATTGTACCAACTACTGGGAAGAAAATTAACTCTATCCCAGCTAAAACCAAGAAAAAGGTGTACGTTTTACTTATGTTGCAGCATTTCTTTAAAATMTTCATATTAAATTCTCAAAGCAATATTGAATTAATCTCTTCTGGAAATAGGAGGGTTGATTTTATTTTCATGAGCTGGCTCTTGGATATATAAAGTGTGAAGAAAGTTACAGTTCTCAGGGCTCTCTGAGAGTAACTGCCCCCAAAATCAGGTTTCCATGCCCTTCAAGACTGATGTATTTTTGTTAAGCTGCCAGCTGGGAACACTTGTGATATTTTCATCTTAAACGCAATGCCTGGGGTCAGTATCACTGAACTCAAGCCCATGACATCACCCTATTCAAAATAAACTTCATTTCACCAGCTCATCGCCAGCCTGTCTCCTGTGTCAATGCCAGGAGCAGAGCTTGTGCAGCAAGGCAGAAAGATACTGGTACTGCAGGTTAAATGTGTGTTTCATCCTCATAAATCATAGTATCAGAGTCCCCAGAGTACTCCAAAAGAGTGGACAACATGTATTGAAACTGCATTACAGTCAACTTCCAAAGAAGGTGGCTTAAAAAATTTTAGGGACACATTATTGTTGCACAAAATGAAAAATTCATGTTTATTTGACATGTTTGGATGTTTTTATAGATATACCAAAGTTTATTATGTACTGATGACTGGGAGCAGTGCAGTATCTCCAGAAGTGCAGCAAGTTCATGTAATCTGCAGCTGGTGACTGCGTTGAAGTTCTTTGGAATATTGCTGAAGTTACAGCAGTCCAGGGCAATATTGCTGCTCTTCAGCACCATCTGTTGACACTGTCTCTAATTATTTTCATTAGGAACAGCCCTCACGTAGGCAAAAGTGCATCTTCCCCAACACAACCATGTAATTCAGTGACTGCATGACCAAGGGGGTGACTGGGAATGGGCYAAATGTAGCAGAAAAAGGCTGCACAAGAGTATGGCTGCTTGCCAGTAGCCCAGAAAAAATTTAATTTTGCTTTAACCCATTATTATTTAATAAACTGGAAAACCCATCCATACACAGATCATTGTAAGAAAGTAGGGAATGTTTCAAATTTTAGCCTCAAACTATTGGATCACTTTTCCTTGAAAATTTGACCAAAACTATGGCAAAATTCAAACTGACTGAAAAATCTTGCTCAGTGTAAAARAGATGTCACCAATCTCAAGCAAGCCAACGCTTCATGTTCTGATA